TTTCGACAATCTGGCCCAGATCCAAAGAGGGCTAGGCCTAGCTTACTACTTACTAATAACTAGGCCTAGGCTTGTTCCACCCTGCCCTGTTGTATTTGACCTGTCTGTATAGCCTATGACTAGGTTAGGCCTAGGGGGCCCTAGTAGGTAGTGGCGTACTACAACTACTAGGCCTAGGCTCCTCCTCCTAGCTAGCCTAGCCGAGGATGGCCTGCCTAGACGCGAGCTAGTCCGGCCAGGCCCAGGCCATTCATAATAATTTAATATGCTCAAATTTTAGACCCTAATTTAACTTGGTTATCAAAAAAAGCCTACTTGCTTAAGCTATTTGAGATTTTCCTTGTCGCTACATTTCAAATAGGCCTAAATGATTACTGAAAAATACATTGTAAACAGGGCCTAATCATTGTAAGCTTCATTCTACGAGTTCGGAATTTCGGATCCACCGCCATTCCATGTTGCGATATTTTGGTAGGTCGGCCGGTTGGGTTGTTGAACTTTCAAGGTTAGCAATACAATGGACTAATCCAAAAGTAGACATTGGTGGAACAGATACAAATAAAATAATATTCTTGATATCTAATTTATCACTACTGTATGTTATTTTTATGTTAAGTTATGTTGTTTTTAAGTTTTTATATATGATAAACCTACCTATATAATATGGAATATTTGTAACATAATTTTAAGGAATGAATTAAATTTAAATTAGTGTTTACCCTGGTTAAAAGTAGTTTTGCTCATTGGTATTTTAACTGACCTTTCTTGTTGTTTGGCGCGAAAGAAGTAAATCAGTGCGATCGTGTGTGTGTATTCCGTGGGAACTGTTGTTAGCATTTAATCAGTGTTACTTCAATAATAACAATGCCAACTAAAGTTGAAACTGAGTTTCAGCTAAGTATTCAGGTTAAAGAAAGGTAAAATATATGAATTATAATTGTTTATTTATATTATGAACTGATTGTCTTGAGTATCTGAGGCTAGGCCTAGAGCCTAGCTAGGCTAGGTTAGGTAGGCTAGGCCTAGTCTATGCTAGGCGTAGTTAGTAGTAGCCTTAGGCTACGCGGCTAGGCTAGGCAGCAGGCTAATCAATTTATGAGAGTCTGAGACTGAGAAAAACATGCAAAGGCCTAGCTAGGTAGTAGTAGTAGGCGCATTAAGCCTAGTGAAGGCCTAGTCTGTCTTATATATGAATCGCGAAGGTATTCATCGCGAATACCTGGGATCGCTCCAGAGAGTCCAGATAAAAGTGACCCACTGGAATTGCGCATAGGCCTATCATATTTCCAGGTGATTTTAACTTTCATAAGTCCTGTTATTGTTATTACTGATTTAAGATATAAAAATAATAAGAAAGGAAATTGGAAATTAATAATTTGACAGCAAACTGCAGTTATTGTGGTTCAAGAGGTTCAGGCCCCTATGTGTATAAATGCAAGCGCTTTGGAACCTCAAGGAAAAGGCACAATAAAATGGCCATTATTGTTATTATTATTTTGCATGAAATCAGTTGTTATGGATTGAACAATACAGTACAAAAATCATAGGCCTAGCCTTTTTTATTTTTTTCTGAAAGCATTTGTGTAAAAGTATGTATACTGCATCCATTCATCCATCAGACTCCCTTGTTCTGATTTTGATTGAGAATATTAATTTAATTCTGTTCATAATTACTAATTTTATTAAGGTATTTCTGTTTACTTTCAGCTTACTTGAACTGGAAAATGATTTTCAAGAGGGCAACGTGACTGAAAAGGCAAGAATGGCACTGCTTCCCAGACCCAACTTGGCAATCAGCCTTACACCACCAACTTACCTTGTTGTGTTAGAAACAAGAATTTCCTACTCTCAGGCCTTCTAGATTTGGCTTGTAAAATAATAATGAACATTGGCTAGGCAGAGATTTTGAAATATTGATCGTTCAATATTTTTACTCATTTTTTTAAACCCTGCTTTTTTACATTTTCTTCCCAGGGGTTTGTCAAAAAAAAGAGTAAGCTTCTGTTCGAACATCTACCTGAAGAACTCCAAAGCAGGTATATCAATTTGTATGAGAGAAGCTTAACTGAGTTCCCTGGTGGCAGTCATGTTGTGTGTGCTGAACCGTTGATGTCTTTACATCAGTGGTTCCCTAACTTTTTACATTCACAAACTTCCCCCCTTCCCCGGACATGTTAAATGTCTTCACAGACCCCAAGTTTAACTCTACACATTGTTGATATTTATTCTATGCAATAACGCACATGCACATTGAACACATTACTTTCTTTATGAAAGAGGAGATTGTTTCCAAATGTACAGCCCTATTCACAATCAGAAGACACAGTATATTCATTTTCATTTTTAGTTTTTAATACAGGGTTTTATAGAAAAATGAAAGTTATACAATGGAAAAAGAATCATTTAAATCCAACAATTCATTATGAAGTTACAGGAATTTAAACATACAGCTGTTTAAAGAACAGTATTTGAGAAATCAGCCTTCAAAGTTTACGTTTTTGGCCATTTTTCAGGCAGAGACCATCACCAAATCATTAAAAGATGTGGTTTTAACATCTAAAATGGGGGAAAATAACCCTGTCTCTTATACACATCTAGATGTGTATAAGAGACAGATGTCTCACAGATGTAGTTGCTTATTCAAATGTAAACTTGGATTTATAGGAAAGTTACAATGTAGCCATGGTGATTAATGGATTTCTTTTTGTACTTGCAGCTGCCACCACCTCGTTGTCGAGAATGTCGTCAGTTGTTGGATGATCGCGAACTGAAGATGTTTCCTGGTGACCAGGAAGATGCAGTAAGTTGATAGTTGATGTTAATACAATGTTTATATTTTCACATTGTCCATAACTGTTGCAAATGGAAACAGCAACAGTTGGAACAACATACAATGAAATAGAAAAGGTTATTACATTACATATGTATTATCTTAATAGGTTGAAGAGTTTATTGCCCTAACCGATGCTCGTTTGTCACTCTTTACTGGCGAAGAAGCTGAGATTGCCAGTGCTGATGAGCGCCCTCAACATAAAATCACTAATTTCAGGTGAGTAATCTTTTTATGGTTTTGGAAACAACATCACCATTGATTTGTAATTTAAATATCGGATTAAATAACTAAAAACATGGTATATTTATTCAATTATTAAATTTCCTGACTTGTTTTCCCTAATTCTGTTAGTTATTTGATCTTAATTTTATTAACACTAGCCACTAAGTGCAAGCTCAGTGGTCTGATGGTTAGGACACCAGGCTAGTTATCTGGAGGTCATGGGATCAATTCCCACCTGAATCACTTGTGAGATTTTTTTTGCAACTCTCTGGGAATGTATTGAGTATTCCGTACAATATCACGTCTCGTAGGTCAAAACATCACTCCTGTGGATTTTGATTTTTAAAAATTCCAAATAAAGTACCTGCTATTTTACTCCACTTTTTTCTTCCACTTTAGTGTCTATGACAAGAACACCCATCTCTGTCCGTTTGATACTGGGATGATTGAGAAGAACAAGGAACTGTTCTTCAGTGGACACGTTAAGCCAATATATGATGAGAACCCTGCTATTGAAGGTATTTTATCTAGCCATTTAAAGCTCTGTGCACAGTATCTAATTTTGTGTGATTAAATTGCGAGATTTGCCCATATATAGAGATTCCAAGTTTAAAGAAATTTCATGTGTGAGACTTACATTTTAAAAACTCCAACCCTGTGCCTGGAAATGCGTTCCCTGTCACTTTAGGGTAGTATTTGTACAACTAAAAATCTCTAAAATCTGCATTAAAAAAAATAAACAAATACATTTCAGACCGTCTCCAATACAAGCCTATTTGTGTCATGTCCACCAACGTGTGGCAGCATGGATGAGTTCTTTGATCATATCTGACATTGCTTTCTGCTATAGCAACAACATTATTCACAGCGTCAGTGTCAGTTCTATTGGGAAAAGAATGATGTAAGATAAACTTATGGACGGAAGTTCAGTGAGAGTATAAATAATAAGCCTACAAATAGCAGTATTACGTTTATGCATGAGGTTTTCAATCAATCAATCACTCATTGCATTTATATGGGGCCATTCCAACATCCTTGCTTGTGGTGCTCGTAGTATTTTGTCTTGGCGATGGTGCTTTGGTACACAGTTTAAGAGCGACTTTGAATACACCGAGTGTGTGAGACTTGATAGGTGATGATGTCATAATTGCGCCCAAATATGTATAGATATTAGTCACATAAAACTTATAAGTGAGGATAAAGATTAACGTTAGTTTACCTGTCACACAGGTAGCCAAGAATTCTTCAACCCCGCCTTTTCCTTTCTGTCTCATCAACTTAATTTTATTTTTTTCTATGTGCTTAGGTGGTGTTGCCACAAGAGCTCTCGGCCCGATTAATGAATGGTGGACAGCGGGTTTTGATGGTGGTGAGAAATGTCTGATTGGATTTGGTACAGGTATGTACATCAAAATATTGTTCTTATTGTTTTTAACAACATTTTCAACCAAGCAATTACTTTAAAGTTAAGGGTGGCTAGATATAAATACTAATATAGTGTTAATTTGACTAAATCAAAATATAGATTTTAATAACAATTATATTTCTTAATTTCTGTTGAGTAATAAGTATTGGTAAGTATTTTTATTTATAGTAGATGTTAGGGATGTAAAAGTGGGTTAATAAGGGTGGGTGGAGGGCCATGAAATTAGCTTTAGACTGGATGAAAAACTGGGTAGCCCCGCCCACCATAATTACATCCCTGGATATAGCGTAGTAGGCCTGATGTTGGCATTATTAATAATAAGAAATGGCCAAAATATTTATATAAAATATATATGAACTTCAAATATTTATTTTTTATTTTCATTATTTAGTATTATACCGTTTTTATTTTTATCAATAGTTATATGCTATAAATGTCTTATATAGGAAATTGTATATCATCTCTGTATCAATAAAAATAACTTAAATCAATGTATAACCTGTGTTTGATTTATTTTATTTTTAGCATATGCTGAGTACGTGCTCATGTCTCCAAGTGAGGCCTACAAGCCTATCTACCAAGCAATGCAGGAGAAGATATTCATGAGCAAGATTGTGATTGAGTTCCTGCAGAAAAATGTGGATACCGACACTGACTATGAAGACCTTGTCAATAAGATCCAGGTAAGAGATGGTAACTTACCCACCAGAACCAAGGTGATGATGAGAGAAAAATTGGTTTTGGAGGTGATAGTGGTGATTGTGGTTGTAGTAATATGAAGTGGATTTGAATTGAATTAAAACATTTTTTAAACTGAAAGTTAGTTACCTTAAAATGATGAATAATTGTGGCAACACTAGAAAAACTAGTCACTCCAGAAAAAATTCATTTTTAGTTTTTAATACAGGGTTTTATAGAAAAATGAAAGTTATACAATGGAAAAAGAATCATTTAAATCCAACAATTCATTATGAAGTTACAGGAATTTAAACATACAGCTGTTTAAAGAACAGTATTTGAGAAATCAGCCTTCAAAGTTTACGTTTTTGGCCATTTTTCAGGCAGAGACCATCACCAAATCATTAAAAGATGTGGTTTTAACATCTAAAATGGGGGAAAATAACCACATATTATGCATTGATATATAAATTTTAGTTTATTGCAATAAAATAGACTTCAAAAATATTGACATTCCACCTGTTTTGGCCATTATCTCCAAAACACGATTGGCGAGGTGTGACTGGTTTGGCTGGTCTTCACCACAATTGGTTACTGTTTTTCTTTTTCATTCTTTTTTGTCCAGACAACTGTACCTCCAGATGGATGCAGTAGCTTTACTGAAGACTCCCTCCTTCGTCATGCTCAGTTCGTGGTTGAACAGGTAAAACAAACACAGTATTATTATTATCAATAACCTTTCTGTTATCTGAACACACTGGTTGATCATGATAGATATATACACTTGTTGATGCTTATTAACCTTAATACCTATACAAAACTTTTTTATCCTGGATTATTGAAAAAAATATTTAAAAATTATATATGTAGTAAGTTATAATTTGTCCGAGTATTTCATGGATTTTAAATTAATTAAATACCTAATGACGACCTCTCGTCAATATTGACGGTAACATCAGGCCTGATATATCAAGGTTGGAAAAAAAAGATGATTTAAAATAGATGTATTATGATTTTGTTTGCAGGTTGAGAGTTTTGATGAGGCAGCTGATGAGGATGAGACCCTACTGATCACGACCCCATGTATGAGAGATCTCATTAAGTTGGCTGGCGTTACTTTAGGCAAGAGGTAAATATATTATAATGATGAAACATAATTAAGTAACATTTTACATTTTATTGTGAAATTGAAAACACTTAAATGTATTAGATATTATAACAACTCTCTATAAATCATTTTAAAATGAAATTTATGTTTTTATATAACAAATCTATTAAAGTATCCTCATAAATTCATCAAAATATACGAAAATAGTCATTTTAAATTGCTTGATTCTTTACATTAATATTAAATTCAATGGCTTAATTGACGTGGGGGTGTGGGGTGGGAATGATGGAGGGGGCTTGATGATTAAGTGACTGGAGAGGGAGGGGTGCAAACTAGCTCTTTTCCCCACCTTAATAAGTTGGATATTTGGAATATTGAATAATCATGGTCTTGTTTGCCCTGTCAATGAATATGCATAATTATACAGTATTTTAAGTTGTTCACATACTTTTATAGTTTCCATTTGGCATTGTACAGTTGGCTGTATTTCAAGTGACCTTATTTTATTTGTAGTTAGATGTGAAATCATGAAATTATTTTTTTAATTAGTATGTAGTTAATTTCTTAATCAACATTTACATTTTGCAGACGTGCAGCTCGAGGTGTATCTTTAAAAAAACGAAAAGAGTTGCAGAAACAAACGATGGCGACGGTAACTCCCCTTGTTTGCAACATCTTTGATATGCTGTTTCAGGATGAGATGCTGAAGGATAAGGAGACAGCGGGACCTCGACGACAAAGATGTGGATTGTGTGATGTAAGTATTGTTTTCGCGGTTAAAATGGTAATCTCGCGCATAGCACCTTCTAGCCCTATAGTGCATAGCAACTCCATGTGTTGTTGCCCTATGTATGGCAACCCCATGTGTTATAGCCCCATGTATGGCAGCCCCATGTGTCATAGCCCCATGTATGGCAGCCCCATGTGTTATAGTCCCATGTATGGCAGCCCCATGTGTTATAGCCCCATGCATGGCAGCCCCGTGTGTTATAACCCCATGCATGACAGCCTCATGTGCTGTAGCCCTATGCATGGCAGCCCCATGTGTTGTAGCCCTACGTATGGCAACCCCATGTGTTATAGCCCCATGTATGGCAGCCCCATGTGTTGTAGCCCTATGTATGGCAACCCCATGTGTTATAGCCCCATGTATAGCAGCCCCATGTATAGCAGCCCCATGTGTTATAGCCTCATGTATGGCAGTCCCCATGTGTTATATCCCCATGCATGGTAGCCCCATGTGTTGTAGACCTACATATGGCAGTCTCATGTGTTGTAGCCCTATGTATGGCAGCCCTATGTGTTATAGCCCCATGCACACTCCCATATGCTGTAGCCCTATGTGTTATAGTCACATGCTATTGCAGCCCCTGTCTAGTGATCGTCCCTTGCATGGCAGCCCCATGCATGGCATCCCTAAGTGTGGCAGTCACACAAACACCCTCTTGCCCCACCCTCATTGTTGGTAATATTAATTATTATTTATTTAAACAATTTATAGAAATCTTTATAATTTATATTTATATTTAAATCAAGTAAAATGTGTTTGTAACACTTGAAATGATTTTTTTTTTATAGAAATGCCAACTTCCAGACTGTGGGAAATGCACATCTTGTAGGGACATGATCAAGTTTGGAGGGACAGGACGGGCTAAGCAAGCATGTATCAACAGACGGTAAATACATTAACATATAAAACATGAGGCTGTTCAACATATATTTAGTTGAATATTATAGTAACTCTCAAAGAAATTTGATTAGAAATTAAATGAAATAATATTTACAATTTATAATGTGTAGAAAAAAATGAATTTACATATTTGTATGCTCTATTTTATAATTGTTTTGGTGGTATGCCGGCTATAGTGTCTTTAATTTTTCTATTTTATTTTTATTTATCAGATGTCCAAATATGGCAGTCCAGGAAGCAGAAGATAATGATGACGTTGAGGACATTGACAAGGAGAATGTGGATTTAGAAGCTCAGAAGAAAAAGAAGAGAAAGCTAGGCTCACCACTAAAGAAAAGAAAGGTAGGATTTATGTTCATCTGCATATCAGTATATTTATATCTTTGTATCTGCCTGATTATCAAGCATATTTGTTCATACATGTATTTCAAAATTGTAGATTCTTTATGTATTCTGAAACTGTTAATATTATTTCAGACTAAGGTGATGTGGAGAGGGGACCCGGTATCAATTGAAGGCGATCACACATACTATTCGTCGGTGCTAATAAATGATGAACAGGTAAAAATCAGCTATTCACAGCACTCGCGCTTCCTTTAGTGAAAGTAATTTATTTTACTAAATTCTTAGGCCTAATACTATGATCCTTTACCAGCCATCGCTTACACAAAGCGTTTTGATTGATAAAGTGCTAACCACAAGGCTGAAATAGATGTTTAATTTGGAAGTCTGCTTAGATACCACGGATTGCAATGTTGAAGGGTTGTGAACTGGTCTGTGCTGTTTCAGCCCTAGGTGTGAGTATTTCTTGGCTTATGAATAATAATGCATTAAAAAATATGTATATATTGTAGTCACATTGCATCATCTATGGTGCTAAAATCTGGTCACCTATCAGCTAGATATCCAACCATCCCCCCCCCCCAAAAAAAAAAAAAAGAAAAAACCCATTTTTTCTTAGCTCCACCTGTAGGAAGTCTATTCAAACATTGTGAATTCTGATGAAATCTTGGTAGTGTATTTCAAACTTTAGATACAAGGATAAGACTCATTTTTCAATGAAATCCTGTTAAAACATATTATTGACTCTTTTTTTTTAGGTGGACATTGGTGACTGTGTGCGTGTGAATCCAGATGATCCCAGTAAGCCGTTATTTTTAGCGCGTGTGATGTCCATGTGGCAGGAAGAGGGCAATGATGAGCCAATGTTCCACGCACAGTGGTTTCTGTAAGTCAAGACATGATTGCGTTTACATAAACAAGGGTCAGCTGAGCATAGAAGATGAGGACCACCTAATTTACATAATGAAAAGAATAGTAATAGGCACCTGTGATATGTAATGCTTAACACACGAATCACATTACACTCCCCCAACAAGGTTATGCAATATACTGAGAGTCATTAATAAACTAAGCTAGGCTGCTTTTAGTTTTTGCCTAGGGTTTAGTGTAGCTCCTTTCATTGTTACTTAATGACATCACTGTCATCGTGGCCCAGTTTCGACTAATTTTTTTTTCTCTAATATTTTCATCATCAGAAAAAGTTTGAATATCTTCCCTGGGACCATTGTGAACTTAGGGGAAAGCAAATTGTGGGAGGGGGAAAACAAGAGCAAAGAGGTCCTAAGAACTAACTATACTCTCCCACACTCCTCCTGAGCTTAGCTCATTAGATGTAGGGTATTGATCCAATCTTTACTCACCTTTCTGTAAGTGTAGAGAGTAATTTATTCTCACACACGACCAACGGCTTTCTATCAACGTCATCTCTGAACCCTTCCCCTCATCTTTTTATTGTAAATCTACCTTCCACAGGTACGGGTCGGAGACGGTGCTTGGTGAGACCTCGGACAATTTGGAGGTGTTTGTTGTTGATGAATGCCAGGATACATATTTAGGGTCTGTCAATTCTAAATGTAAGGTACGTACGAAAAATATATAGATAGTAATAACATTACATGGATAAAAATTTTTTCTTGAAATTCATGGTAAAGTTGTATTGTTTTAAGATTAACTTGCTAATTTTGCAGTAACATACAAATTATTAACTTGAGCATAACATTTTTAAGAAACTTGATGTGAACCCTGATTTGTATACTAGAGAACGATAAAAATGATAAAAACCCTCCATTGACTGGAAGTGTTTTTATCATTTTTGTGTACTCTGATATTTATACTAGATAATAATAAAAAGTATAAAAACACAGCAGTTCTCTAACCAATTGTGATGGAATTCTTAGTATTTTTTAATTAACTTTAATTTAACTACTATTTGTTAATAATGTGTACCACCTGTTTATTACCATGTTTTCTATTTGCCATTTTTGAAAAAGCATGTTTTAATACTACAGAAAATTTAAAAAAAAAAAACATTTATAGGTACACACTATTATACTAGAAGTAAATTTAGGTTTCTGGTTAATTTCAATAGTACAATCATAGTACCTTAATAGTTCAATGATTGTACTCTTTGACCTACTGCTGATGTGATGTAGAGAAATATGTTACCCAAATGAACTTTTGGGTTTACTTAGTTTGTATTGTATCTTAACAGATTATTTTCAAGGAACCGTCACCCGATTGGTTCATGATTGGCGGGATAGAAGACTTTAATTCTGATCAAGTAATTGAAAAAGACGATGGCAAGACGTTCTTTTACCAGAAGTTTTATGAAGCAACGACGGCACGTTTTGTTGATGTTCCTGTAACCAAGAACACATCTAATGTCCCGGAATATAGGTTCTGCCCCTGCTGTGTTAGACTAGAGGAACAAAATGAGGTAATTTATGCCCCTTTCTCAATGACAAACTAATCCATTAGATAAATGGTTGAAGTTGAGCATCGTATTTGTGAGAAAGGGTCCAATAGACTAATGAAGGTTAAAGTTGAACCATTAGTATAGTTATATTCTATACATTACATGGTGGTCATTGCATATAGGATTGAATTAATACTTAAAAACATTGAACATATTCATTAGATGCTAACATTTTCCATTCTTCAGAAAGACACCCCTAAAGCCTATGATGAAACAGAAATAGAAGATGGAGGAAATAACAAAACATATTATGGGTGAGTTATTTGAAATGTCAAACATGTTTATGAATAATAGGGAGTGGAATGTTGTTTACTGACAGGGACAGTAATGCTGTAAGGGCTGGAATTGTGCAATAAACATTAACATTATCTCATTGACAGGGGGGTGGTGTGTAAGAGTGAGTGTCAAGTGTTTTTGTTGGTGAGTGATGTGTATTGTAATAAATATCATGGTATTATTCTTGTATTCTTGGGTGATGGAGTGTTTGTAGCTGAGGGGGGAGGGGTTGTTTTGTCTTGGAATGTGATAATTGAGCATCAGGTTTGTTTGATTTAACCTCTTGGGTTCCTTTGTCCTAATTCCCTGTCCAGCCTGTCAAATGTAATTTGACAAAAACATGTGACATACCTAAATATGGTCATGATGTCATCATCACCACATATATGCACATCATGACTAAATATGGGCATACTAATAATAATGATAATAATTTGCAATTTGTATAGCCCCTTAACGAAAAGAAGCAACAGTTTTTTGTCAAAGAAATTTGATAATCTGTGCAGAACTGAAGCTTTTGTTTGTTAATATTTCATGTTGTCAGTCACTTTCATGAAGAATAATTTCCCAGTCATTTTGGGAAATTTTAGATTTTTGCTTGATTTTTGTCGCATTATTCCCTTTTGTTTATTTTTGGGGGTCAGGTCATATCTAGAAAACACAATCCAGAATTTTTTTATCTATTTTCTAGATGCTGTCTATTTGACGGAGTTGAGTACAAAGTAGGCGATTCAGTCTACCTAAATCCAGATGCCTTCTCATTTGCCATCAAGCCAAAACCACCAACAAGAAAATATGTCAAAAAAGAAGTGGTACGTTCCAACTTAGAAAATATAACAATTGGGATGAGTCAAAATTTCTTTGGTTGGTATTTGTAGATACTTAAAAAAAATTCCAAATATTTGCTGTCATATACTGTTGAAGACTGAATGTTTTAAGACCAGGCTCGGGAGAGTTTGACAAGATACAGATTTTTAAATATTGAAAAATCTATCTTATTAACAATTTCTGAGTGTTTCACCATGAAGCACCCCCGTCAGTGTCTTGAGCCCTTTCCAAACTATCACATTTTTTTTTGACAAAAACATCATGCCTCAGTATTGTGATGATGACATCACATTATAACCATATATAGGCACATCATGAATATAGGCGTACAACAGTTTTTTTGTCAAAGACAAGTGGAAGATCGCCACGGAGTTTAGGTCAAGTTAGTTATACAAAATATAATTATTTTTCCCTACAGAGCCTGGCTTTAAGTTGATAGAAGCATGCTATTTCTCAATACTTCAATTTTATTTTTTGACTTTAGTTGCCAGATTTGTTAAATTTTGTTTATTTTAAACATTTAAAAACAAATAAGAATAGTATGAATATGAATAGACTTAAATGACTTAGCAGAGTCTCAGAACTGGACCAGAAATATATGCGCTTATCTCACAAACAATTTCAAAATTTGTAGTTATACCTAGAGTGTATGTATATATATAAAGATAATTAGCTATTTTAATGTAGTAATATTTAAAATATATTTATATATGTAAGAATAGGCATACTGTAAAAAAAACAATAGGACCGATCCTCTTTATTTCATCCTTTTACATTAATTCCATATTCACAATAGGATGAAGACCTGTATCCTGAGTATTACCGAAAAACCTCCGATTATGTGAAGGGGAGTAACTTGGAATGCCCACCACCATTCCGTATCGGACGTATTAAGCACATCTACAAGAAGAAAGGCAGCGAAGTTATCAAGTTGCTGGTTAACAAGTTCTACCGTTCTCACGATACACATAAAGGCGTGACCGCTGGTTACCATGTTGATCGCAACATGTTGTACTGGAGTAATGAAGGTAACTAGGCCTAATTATTTTCCTTCACTCACAAAATGCGCAGTGACATTGACTTGAAAATTGGGTTCAGTCTGTAAGTATGAAATCATGAAAGGTGGACTTTATTTTATTTGATTAACAAAATTGTTCTGCCAGTTCTACAGAATTGTAGATTAATTAGAGGGTGACGTAAATAGTGGGAAATCATTGGTACTTTTTTTTTTTTGCAGAGGCGATTGTTGAGTTGACGTGGGTGCAAGGGAAGTGTATGGTGGTGTATGGAGAAGACCTGGCCGAGACTGTCCAAGAGTACTCCACCGCTGGTGAAAATAGATTCTACTTTCTTGAGGTTAGCTTTTTTGAACACTTTACCTTTTTTTTTATAAATAATATATTTCAAGGCTGAAGAAATAGCTCACATTGCACTGGCCTCAAATATAACTTAGGCAGAAGTGGACTAGCTTAGAATCATTTTCTAAGCCAGCGACAACTGTCCTGAAAATTCCATTTTCGGACATCTAAAGGCGATATATCCTGAATTTGTTTTCACCACAGCCCTACCATAGTTGAGACTGAGGTGGACGATTGACCACCTGTTGGGAAAATGCTGAATCCACCGCTAAGCCTGGGTTGGTTACTTAGCATGTGTAATTACAAAAGTATGCATTATAAATACACCTATATGAAATAGTATTATAAAGAAAACACATCTCATAAGTGCATATGGATAAGCTTCATGCATTATATATTATTATTAAAGATGTATTGTCCCCGGAAAAATACAAAAAATTGTAAAAATCATTTTTGAATTAATTTACTTATTTTCAAGTAACAAACATTATCAAGTTGAGCTTAGAAACTATTAGATTAAAAAAAAAAAACTATGTTACTTCAAAATGAGCAAGATAATTTTGTTTTAAATTATTTTTATGATTTTTTTTTGTCGTAAATAATAAACAACACAGAAAACAGGTATTATTATTGCTTAATACCTCCTATTTTACCTGTGAAAAAATTAAATATAACTAATAATTAGTTTAAAATTTCTTCTTCTGAACTATGAATTTTCAGGCTTACAACAGTGAAACAAAGCAGTTTGAGGATCCCCCAACTCAGGCCAGAGGAACCATCAACAGGGGCAAGGTATAGTGCATAGTGTGACCTATATCCCAAATGCTAGTATTGAAAAGTACTAATATCGTATTCATTTGAAAAAATGCCCTGTTTTGAATAAGCGCCCCTCTTCTAAGAAGAATCTCTCTCCAGAGCCTCATTTGGAATAAATGCCTCCCTTAAATTACTGCCCTACCCCCTTTTCTTAAACGATTGTCAACAAAACTATGGAAGCAAAGTCACTCTCAACACATTCTATTATGTTCTACTCCAGTAGTACTTTTTTTTCTATCCTGGTTGTGATCAGTAAGTCTTTATGATCGTGCAGTAACACATTTCAACAGCGATTATGTGTTGTAATTCAATATTTACAGTAACAATTAAGGGGTGTTTATTTGAGTATATGTATCCATTTTACTCCAAAAATAATACAGGCCTCCCTCAAACAACTTTCCCCTCATAAATGTTTCTCAACAATAAATGCCTCAAGGCATATTCCAATAAATATGGTATGCCAAATACAAAAGTGTAAAAAGCCCTTGGCAATAGAGGTAATAATTGTGTTTTCATTCAAAGAATACAAAAAGTATAGTGACTCGTCTCAGTAATCGTGCATTGTATTTTTTTTTTGTTAGTTTTCTATGATATATACTGGTTTAGTTAAAGCTTGATTTATTATTAATCTTTGATAAAGATACGTTGTTTTTGGCCTCTGAACATTCACCCATATACATATAACTTATAATTTTTTAATCTAACAGGGTAAAGGAAAGGGGAAGGGTAAAGGCAAAGGCAAGTCTTCATCCGTGCCCTCTCCCAAGAAGACCGAGGCGACACAGAAGCACCACAAACTTAGGTGTTTGGATGTGTTTGCTGGGTGTGGAGGTACGAAAAACCTTTGTTGCTGCTGATGTTTTCTTGTTAAACTGACAATAACATATACAGTACATTATAGTGAAATAATATTTTTCCAACATGATATAAACTAGGATGTCCTCTTTTTGAAGAATGTAGACTCTGGATGTTAGGGAGTGAGGGACCGATCTTTGCCTTTTGTCATAATAAACCATGAATAAGGCCGGTAGACATATGAGGCTTGACATCTCAAAGCCAGCGTACTGTCGCTAAATATTGCTTAGTAGTTAGGATAAGAATGTGTCAGGATAAGAATGTGTCAGTATTTTATGTACAGAGAAGCCATAATACTTTTACTCATAACTTTTGCAATAGTAATTTGATTCCAGTAAAAGACCTATCATTTAAACCTTATCAGGTAGAGAGTATAACTACATCAGAAAGTCAATTTTTCCTTGTTTTAGTCACATGTTGCTGGTTTGAGCATGGCATAGCCTGGGATCTATGATCATACAGTAATTGTTTTCGATAAGAATGTGTTGTGGTCTACGTAATTTCCAAGTAAATGAAAGGAAGCGTATTTGCATATATAAATATGTATCCATTTTAGGAGAAAAAATTAATGCTTCCCTTGAATAAACTTCCCCTCAAAATCCCCAGAAGAACAATAAACACCATGTGCTTATTAAAATAAATTTAACATGTGTATGTTGGGCAAACAATAAATGGTATTTGAAGCTTAGTAGAATTTAGGATGTACTGATGATACTTGTATCATCACATTCAAGGTTCATACCATTATTTAAAAGACCATTACATTATTCGTTTCTAGGCCTGTCTGAGGGATTCCATGCAGCAGGGATTGCAGAAAGCCACTGGGCCATAGAGAAGGAAGAGCCTGCAGCACAAGCCTTCCGGTTAAACAACCCAGGCTGCACTGTCTTTACGGATGACTGTAATGTTCTTCTGAAGTTAGCCATGGAGGTAATTATCCAAGCTTTATTTTGAATGTTAAGATGTTTGCCTTCGAATTTGTTTCACCTCTGAAAACTCCATTCACTATACCTCACTGGTGGGCAGAGTGTGGACTTGGGGGAGGGGGGGCCACATGAGGCCTAACGGTACTTTTGTTGCGGCCCCGTGAACATAAATTATAAACCCTCTATGTGCAGCCCACCTACCATCTTCAGTTAGAAAACCTTTTGTTGGCCAGGACATCTGTAAAAGGAATATTGGAACTGAGTATAAACCAGCACATTAAATAGTGCAGAGTGTCCCTAAGTGTTAATTCAAAATTTCACTTTAGCCCTGTGACCCATTTTTTATGCCCACCTCGGCTATACCTTAAATTGAGACTTTGGTTGGAACAGCAGTTTCATACTCTAATTTTGCAAAGGTAATTTTTTTTTTTGACAACAGGAAGTATCAAAACACATGAGAAAGCCCAATTATATAATTATTATTAACTATTGTTAATTTTAACTAAATGTTTATATGCATATTATTTTATGTATGTTTTATGTATGTCTTTTCAATATCAATTTGTCTTTTTTTTTTAATTTGGTTATTTTTGTGTGTAACAGTGCTCTGAGAGATTGTATTGAAAACCTATATTATTATTCATGAATTATTTGAGAAACTTATCTTGTAATATGATTTAAGATATAATTATTAGATACACACATATCAGTTCAGTTGCTTCTCTTCTCATTTGTTGTAGGCATGTTCTCATCAATTGATTCTTGTTTAAAGTATACCGCAAAATATTTTAATATTATATTTGACATAACCATTTCATACCTCAGGCCCAACCATTGTGGGACTGAGGTGGCAGGCCTCGAATTTGGGGATTTTATGGGCAAGGCCAAATGGCCTCCGCAGGGTTCAAAATAACACTGGTCCGCCGGCCAATGGCTAGTAAAATGCATGGCGGACCTGTTAATTATCCCAATAACAAGTCCGCATGACCAGTTAAAATTTCAATGAAAGTCTGACAAAATACCTAAAGTTTTACTCATTCACCTCTTAACGATGTCTTTACAAAATATTTCACACAGATAATGTCAACAAGATCGCTATTTTCTGTTTATTGTCATGTTAATGTCAGCTACGAACAGCCTTGGGCTCAATCATTCAAGGCGAACAGATGAACATCACGCAGTAGCTAGGCCATGGAGGAACCCATGGCTAGACGTACAGAGGGAAATCACCTTCTCCGCATGTTACAGCGACAAGGAGAATTTGATTTCCGTCTGTGTGAGCACCGTGAATTTAAAACATCCATGTCATGTATCCATCCCACAATGCAATGTGGGACAAAAAGTTAATAAATAATGCAACGATTTCCGTACAAAGCATAGTCCCAATAGCGTTGTTATGGAGATTATCTATTAATTAAAATGACACACCAGTAAAATGTTAGATAAAGTGATAGTTACGCCTTCCATTGTTTTAATAAAGTGCATTATCGCCATATGAATACTTAAAAATCTATTGTAATCAACCTGAAATGAAAAAGGAACTCAAAGCAATTGTTTCTACGACAGATCTTTTTCAGTAGACGTTTATTTCGGATTTGGTATGTCATTAGATTCATATATCAGTCTACATGTAAATTACACTCACATTCCCCAAAAAACATTGCTAATTACGGAGGAAATTTGCAGAGAATGACATTTAAATTTGAATAAGATTTATTTTAGATTTGACTCTAAAACAAAACCATGAGGGTTTCTTATTTATTTTAATAAATTTGTTTAATTAAAAAATT